CAGAGGTGCACCCCCTTGAATTTTGTGGCAGTTTCAAATATTTGGCTTAGCCAGCTGGCCGAAATTAAAGGCTCATGCAAATGTCCTTATGCGCTTCAGTAAGCTTTGCATTTGTCTAAGCCGATTCCAGGGGCACTGCACCGTGAACCGAAACAGACGAGCGATAACAAAGCCAGGAGCTGGAATATGGTTACTATCCATAATGGCACACGGCGAAAACAGGATCGTAAAGAGGTGAGTTTTTAACAGTTTTGGAAGTGAAGAGTTTGGATTGATAACTAACAGTTTATGTTTTGGTTTTCTGTAATGATAGATTTATTTGTTCCTAACTTTAACTTCTATATTTTGACAGTTTTCCAAAAACATACATTGCTGATTTTAAATTAAACGAACAAATATTCATTGCTGTTTCACAGTTTAACCCAGTGATATTTGTTTATTGCTGTATTCATTTGGCTACATTGTAGAAAAACCAAATTTACCCACAGGTAACAGCAAGTTATGCATTTATGTTTTTGTGTCAATATTGTTTCATTCAAAAGTTTGTCGGTACTTTGTCAATGAAAACATTTTTGCATTTAAATTTGTGTTGATCAAAAGGGGGCTCTCTTTTGGATTTCCATTTAAATGCTGACCCAACGGAGCTTAAGCTGGCAAAGGATTATCAAAAAACGAAATGAAATTGAAGTGTATAATAGATGTAATTTTTTCTCTTTGCTCCTCGTTCAGGACATCCTGATGTTGATTATAATTGCAAAAAATAACTCCGGCAAACATGGCCAACAATATACGAAAATCGCATTTAATTAATGCACGAACATTGCCGACGACATCAGTGGGGTAACTCTTTTGTGCTGGGAGAATAAACTTCAGACATAACTCCAGGCAATATCAGGGGAACGTGGATGAGTAGAAGGAGGATGAGGAGTAGGAGAATTGCGGACTCCAGGAGGACTTGTTGAAGAGCTGTCAAAGTGCTGCGGGACAAAATGGCTGCCGCTGTCTGCATTTGTATTAATGGCAGCCATGCAAGGATGCAGATTTCAGATTCAGGATTGGAAGAGAGGCTGGTGGTAGCAGGTACTCGTGCAAAGGTGCAGTTATTTGACTGCCTTTGGCAGTTTCAAGTGCACGGGCATGTGTGCATAAACGAGACTTTCCTCCTCCTCATCCTCCTTCACCACCGCCGGATTGAGCTCCTCGAAATCCCCAAGCTTTTCCTGTGGTGGCATCTATGCATTCAGAAAATCAGAGTGGAAAACGTGGGCCAAGCGTGCTTGCATTTATTTTGCAATTACTCTGCTCAAGCGTGGGGCCTTCAACTTTTCCTTAGCAAAACTCAAATATAATTCCGTCTAATCAACACTTTAAGTGAACTAAATTTATTATGAACCAGAGAAATGTTCGCCAGGCGAGCAAAGTGCCTGCTGCTTTGCTGACCAATTAGTAACGTCTCCAGGAGAAATGAGAGCACACCGAAAGGTTGTACGGTTGCAGAATCTCACTAAAGTCCCAAATAAAATAGGTTATTGTAGTTTTACACTTTTATAAATTGCACTCTCTAGTATCTAATTAGTATTTTAATTATAAATTTAATAGAAAATGTCTTCTTATGAAAAATGTAATACTAAATTTCACAGCTGGTTAATTTTTAATCCAACTTTTTCACAAAAGTTAATCTAGATACCTTCCCTGACTTATCTGTCTGTGTATGAAATTGAAAATGCAACCGAGCAGAACAGACGCTAAAATGTCAAGTAGGTCGGATGAAATTATAAATCAGGAGCAGTTCGTGTCCAGTTCAGCCAGGAAGGTCGCTGAGAACGCCTCCGAAAAAGAGCAGAGACGATGGCATTGATGAATTTCACCATGACAAGGCTGGGCAATTAGCCAGGTGAAAGTGGCTATAATTAGGCAACAGGGCCAGCAGTGTCCGTGACCAGGCAGAAAAACCCCGGCAACGAATACCTAATGAGCCAGCATCTCCGTTCCCAAAAGGTGCAAACAAAGTCAGCAAAGCCAGCCAAAGTGGCAAGTAGCAATGTGCAGTCGGAACGGAAAAGTCAGAGTGCAACATTCAGCGTCATCGTCTTTGTTCAGTGCAACTCATCATTTGGTGAAAATTTGCATTCTTGTCTTTGACTTTCGTTTTGTGATTTTTCATCACCTTTCTTTCGTTGGCTTTTCAGCAGCAGCAGCAGCAGCAGCGGCAGAATGCAAAACTGTGCGCCCATAAACTACTTTTTAGCCTGGCCAACTCGCTGCCCCTTTCGGTATCCACACTCTGGGTATATCTCTTGGTATCTTGGCAACTGGCCACCAACTGTGTCAACCAGTCAAACTAGTTTCAGTTGCTCCTCGTGGACCGTAGACCATGGACCGCAAATGCTGATTGCTCTTTCTCTCCCAGCTGCAAAATTGATTGAAAGAGCTAACTCCTCGTTGGCTCTTTGGGTTTACAGCTATGCAACACTAAAGATATTCGCTTATTTTCGCCATTTTCGCTATTTATGCCTTGAACCCTGGGACCCGTTCTCAACTATGGTTTTAACTGGCCTAAAAGAAAATGTTCTGGCCCGAAACGAACTTGAAGGCCACTTAGCAGCTGTGGTGAACGGAATGGTCAGCTAATTTTATCTGCCTCTCCAATCGAAAGAAAACCCAAATCGAAATCCTGTCCAATCGACACTGGTTTTCGTGACGTTCACGCCCAAAATTGAAAACACCAACTATTTGCTAATATCTGTTGCTTATATAATCCGCTTTGTGAACAGGAAAACTCGTTTACCCCAAACCAACCCCCCTCCCCACCAAACAGTTGAAAAACTTTTGTTAATTTTCGCATTATTAATATGTTGTATTGACGGTAAAGTTTAATCAACTTTTCACTGGTTTGTTGATTCGTTTTGAGGCCAACGAAAGTTTGGCCCGGAAAAAACCGAATTGAAGCCACAAATGAAATGAAAATACTTTTTGCCATTTTGATTAGAAGTTTTGCAAGTTGAGAATTGCATGAAATGGTCGAATAAATTGTTTATTTAATGTCCGACTTGTTGCCTTTTTCGGGGCTTCGAGCACGTACAAAAACTCCGGACTTTTTGCACGTACAAGCAGCAAAGGAGCCAAAGAGGCAAAGGGAAAATGGATCCTGAATCCTGCATAAAGTTTAAAATGTCTAAAGCTCTTTAAAACGCAGCTACAGTAGTTGATGGCCCTTCTGGGTAAGCACTTGCGAATATTTCTGCTAAATTGCTGGAATATAAAACACATTTCCCGCTCAGAGTTTTCCCCCCTTTAGAAAAACCCACTACCACCGCAGACAATTTGATAGAGATTCCATTCATTCAGAAGCTCAAAAAATAAATTTAGTCTCAATTTCAGTTCTACTCTGGGCAATTGCAAACATTTTCGCATTTGCCGCCACAAAAACCCCGCTGTTGAGGATGGCGGTAGAAGTTGGCGTCGGGCTGTAGGCCACAAAAGCAAATTAAAACATTTGCCAACACAACCGGAGCAGTTTAATGCATTAGGCCAGGCAAACATTTTACCATTTTACCATTTACCACCCGCTGTCAGCTTGATAACTTAACTGGAAATCCCTCTGCCAACCATTGTGACTTCCGTCAGTTGGCCCTACAATTAATCACATTTCATTTATCAATTGTTTCGGCCCAAAAACAGAGAGAGATTAGGCCAAACAATAAAAGCTAAATCTGCCATTGGTAATTATTTAGCCAATGCGACAACAATAGCAAATGGATGCTGTTAATTGGATCGCGTTATGTAGGTAATAAACACGCTGCCTGAGCGAAAAACACCAATAAAATTCCAAAATATTTTTGGTTTTTCCTTTCATGCGGAAAACCAAATGATGAACTATTATTTTTATTGATTTTTATTGTATGGGCTGTCGGCCAATTAGCTAGACTTGTATATACAGGAATTTGATATTCCCTAGTTTAGTTTTTAAATGTATAGAAACTCGCAGATTTGTTATATTAAATGACTAAATTAAAGACTAAAGAGTGTCCAATCACAAATAATTTAATATATAACATTTTGAAACCACCAAGAAAGCCTTTCCTTTACTTTACGAAACCCCCCAACACCTACTTGATAGGATGGCCCATCCTTACACACTCTCCACACCTCCTGGCTCCAGACACATTCATTCAGGCGTGGTGGAATGTTCGGCGCTAACTGATCGGGCAAACAAAAACAGTTTCTCCGGGTGTTTGGAGCTGGAAAAACGTGTGCTACATGTGGATAGGATGGGGGGAAATGGGAATACGTTGGGATGAGATGGAGAGAGCCGACTTGATGGGAGTTTGGGTCCAGGTACCACGGCGTCGATAGGCGGCAGCGTTAACTGTTGTTCGAATTTGTCTGTGGTCAGTGACCCAGCCCAGTCCATGGAGTATGGAGAGAGACTCGAGAGACTGCAGGCGGGGACTAACCGGCAAAACAAACATGTTTTAAGGCAAAAAAGAAACATTAAGAGTAAGAGACCCGGCAATCTGCTACACTTTGAGAGGAGTAAAGAAACACATTAACTTTGGTCAGTACATGAATACGAGCGCTCGTTAGTAGATAGAAAGGTTGAGGGGCAGCCAGTAGAGGAGGGGGTCTAAAAGCGGACAACCCCTTGCGTGCCGAATGCCATAAAACTCGCGAAGATATAGAGAACGCACAGCGGAGTTCTATAGACTATAATTTGAGAGTCTTTGGCCGCGGATCGCAATTATCTTTTGCCGAACATGGAACACGATCAGCGAGTTCGCCGCTTGAGTCTTTTGTTTTCAAGTTTGGGTTTTGAGAGTCTCCAGAGATCGTCGCACCATTAGAAAAAGAATCCCCCAAATGTGTGGCTTCAGAAATTAATTCAAATATAACCCAGATGGGCTGTAAATTATTCAGATATTTACTCAGCTTTGGTCGTGTGAAATGCCGGCTGCGTCGTTCGGCTCCCACAGAAATTATGATATTATATATTTACTTACATTTCCTCAAGTTGATGCGATGCCCACGATCTGCAGAAGAGAAAGAAAGAGAAAATGAGGAGAAATTAATATTAAATTACACATTAACGTACGCATCGGAGGTAATACTCAGAAATAATTTCCATTGTGGCCCGCAAATAATGGAAGTTTGGTATCGTTTTTAATGAAATCACGAACAGAGAAAGAAAACTTTTAGCAGAAAGCGATGAAGATTTTTAGAGTTTCACGTTCTTTGCCAAAAATTTGCGAGTTGGGGAATGCAGAAATCTCAATCCACATACGAGTATGTGTTATAGTACATATCAAGCGCTAATTAAGCAAGACTCGAGCCTCCCCCTAGAAACTTTTACTAAAACTTAAAAGCGAGAAGACGAGCAGCGAGAGAATTAAATTAAGCACTACTGTGGGAAAATGTCTTGAAGCGTAAAGCAATAAGAACATTTCCATGCTCCCCCTAAAAAAGTGGTTTCCACCAAGGAAACCACAGGGTTGTGTGAGAGAGGAGGAGTAGAAGAAACTACGAGGTAGCCAAGCGTACAAGTTTTCCCAAAGCCTGGGGCCAGACATGTGTCAAGGTTATACTCCTCCAACAATTAATGCGAAGCGATGGGAGGAAAACTCTTCGTTTAGCCAACTCTGTCCACTGAACATGGCCGAGTGATTTCCGGGGGGAATGTAGGGAGTAGGAGAGCATCTCAATAAAACCGGAAGGGATGAGATGGTAAGTGGAAAGCGATGCCGTACAGGGAATGTTGGAATTTTTATTGCCTGAAGCTCGGGGGAGAAACACACACATATACATATGTGGACATACACAGGTTGAAGTGTAAATCACATTAAATCGTAGAATTTCCATGACACATCCTGGTAGCTGCTGCTTCTCCTCCTGTTGGCACACCGTTTATCAATTATCAGCAAGGACCCATCGTCCTGCCTGCTTCTTTGCACGAAAAAGGATTCTGGCAACAAGGAGAATCGATTACACAAACAAGCTAAGGCAGTAGGACCTGGAATGGGCTAGAGAGCTTTAGCCAAAAAAATTGAATTTATTTTCCATCAATATTGCTTCTATGCCCAGGCTCAAACCGAAAAACCCTTCGGGCTTTTTTGTCCTGCCCGGAATCGGAGAGGCTTGACCATTGGCAATTTAATTTTCCATGTGAAATGTGAAATGTTTCCTCAACTCAACGCAACTGAGCTCTTTTGCCGTATTATGGTTTTGCATATTTGTATTTATAAATTGCCGAAGCGAGTGCGAGTGTGCGAGTGTGTGTGTGTGTGTGTGTTTGCGTGGAAATTTTCATTTACAATTTCAATTCAATGCTTTATCCATGGCCATTCGCCATCATCATGTATGAGGCTCATAGTTGAAGGATCTCTCCGCCGTAAGAGTTATTTATGTTTACATTATAAATGAGTCCTGTGGCTGCCGTGGTTCTTGCCGCCTTTTGTTGTTGCTTTTATTGGCCAGAAGAGAGCCAGAGTGGAAATCATTAAATATTTCGTATTTAATTTTACCTCCTGCGCTGCACTGCAAATATTTATACCCTTGCGGAGGATTTATAATGCCTCTTATGCCTCTGCCAACCGTATTTCAAACTTATTTAATCAGTGCCTTAACGAATTATTATTTCGAGTGCCTGTTAAAATATTATAGATGTGCAAAATTCATGGCAACTGCTTTGAATTAACTCTGCTTTAAATACCTTATCTTGCAGATGGCATCGTAATGATAAACGTAATTATTACTCTTAATTATACCCGTTACTCGTAGAGTAAAAGGGTATACTAGATTCGTTGAAAAGTATGCAACAGGCAGAAGGAAGCGTTTCCGATCCTATAAAGTACATATATTCTTGATCAGGGTGAATAGCGAAGACGAAGGAGCCATGTCCGTCCGTCCGTCTGTATGAACGCTGAGATCTCAGGAACTATAGCAGATACAAAGTTGAGATTAACCATGAAGATTCTTGAGGTCCCTACGCAGCGCAAGTTTATTTCAGCATCCTGACACGCCCACTCTAACGCCCACAACCCGCGAAAAACTAAAATCGCTGAAATCTCAGGAACTATTAGAGCTAAAAAGTTGAAATTCAGAATGTTTAACCTTTACTATCCGGCAACACCCTCCCATACGCCCACAAGGCTCAAAAGACGGTTTTCGCATTTTCTAGAAAAGCTGATATCTCGGCAACTATAAGAGATAGAAAGTTCGGATTAAGCATGTAGGTTTTTATGATGCTCCCAATGCGATCAAGCCAGAAAAACTAAAACAAGCAAAAATCTCGGAAACTATAAGAGATACAAAGTTTTGCTTAAGAAAAGGTACTTAAGAGATGCCACTGCAACTTGCCACGAAGTTGCGTCCGGCCAAGCCTACTCTAACGCCCACAAACCGCGAAAAACTGTGGCGTCTATAATATTATTATGAATGCCTTGTTGAATTATTTCTGTTAATATCTATCGATTTACCAAAGATTTTTAAAATCGGAACATTATTTCGCATTTATGAAGAAACTAAGGGTATCTTATAGTCGCAGCACTCGACTATAGCGTTTCCTCTCGTTATAAATTTCACTTTATTGAAGTTATGAGGGAAAACTAATATATCAAACATGATAATTAGGTAATAAAAGTGTTAATAAATATACTTGATAACTAGATACATGTTCTGTCAGAAGTATTTTATAAATAACTATTTTTCTTTTACATTTTTAAGGTTTAATTTCTCCAATCTCCCTCTTTAATGCCCAGCAAACTGTTAATTAAATTAAAATTAAGTAAAGAAAACGATAAAGCCTAGAAACAGCTTTGATTAACTTACTACCGCTTGAACCTTAACCCTCGACCATCACTTCAGCCATTAATGTTTTGCTATTTGGCATCCTCGAACCCATTTAAACGACGCCCACGTGACTGCCAGTTGATCCTGCAGTTTAAGACGAACATCACGTAGCCAGGCAAATGCTTTTCAAAATATTTTTACTAGGTTGCCCTGGTGCCATAAAATAAAACAAAACATAAGAAAATAAAACGCGCATTTTCCTCGACGTCTGGAACGTGACATAAATTAAATTTTACTCCATTAATGGAAAATATTATGAGCACAGATAGCAGATAGAGAGGAGGGGAGGCGAGCAAAACTGAAAAACTTGTAAACTTGCAACTTTTTTCCCGGCTAAAGTATTTCAATTTTACAATAGGGCAAAGGGAGAAGTTGCAGATCCCAAGTTGAGCCAAGTTGAATTGGCGATTGTTGTCGACTCGATTGAACAGCAGACTGCAGCTGAAGTTTGTTAATTTCACAAAGCTAAGTCTGAGCTATTTCTCATGCAAATCTGTTCGAATATCCCGGAAAATATGCAACAATTTTAGATGTGCAATTGTCCAGGGCAGAAATATTGTTTGCCCATTTAATCGCTTTCGGAAAAAAAAATACCTCGCCCCCTTTTGTATTTTCACATAGCAAATGCAGTTGGAATTTTGTGCTCCATGAATATTTCTGACTTTATGCTTCATTGATTTCACCATGAATTTTTCACTAAGCTACCGAAAAGCTAAGAGAAAATTGTTCGACCATGGAATCGCAAAACCTAATTCAAATTGCTATGCAATCTGAGGAAGAGCCCCACCGCAAAAATAACACACAGCTCTCTTAAGTAGGCAACTACTACTCAAGTGAGATGAACAATTTGAGAGGGGATCGTAAAGGGTTAGTGCTGCAGCAGCAGCAGCAGCAGAACAATCGCAACACTATCTAAACAGACAGCCCATTCAGATCCCTCGGGCGTGAAGGATTTTAAGGGTCCCTAACTCCAACTCTTCTTGACCGACTTCTGCTGACCAGAAAGAACGAACGAAAAAAAAAAAGGGAAAGCCCTCCTTCTCTACGTTTTTATGGCCTCTGTTCTATTTCATCAGCTCAGGCTTAACGCTCCAGCCCTGGCCATTCCATCTGCTGACCCCCGGAATCCTTCGAAGGATTCGCTTTACTTTGCCACCAGCTCACATTTCGTAGTCCGCGCTCATAAACATTTTAGTGGCGGGGCACGTTTCATTTTGCGCCGAAATGCGTGTAAATTGCTTTCGCTTTGCTTTTAGCCGCTGCAAATGAAACTAAAAACGCTGACCGACTGTTGAATAGTTTTTTGGGCCAACATCGTTCTATGCTTCCCTTCCCTCTCACTTTTTGGGGCAACTTGGCAAATGGCAAATGTTTGCATACGGCCGACGTGATGCCGAAAGGATAATGGAAATTTTCTAAAAATTGTATCACCCGGCTGCTGCTGCTGCTGCCGGCGTCTGCCTTCCCGCACCGAAACAATTTTGTAATCGAAAAAGTTTGCCAGGCCTTCTGGCCCAAAGCAAACAATTAGTTTAGGGTCTGTGGGGAAATGGCTGACGGGGAATGGCTGAATGCTATGCAGTTCAACTGGCAAATGTCAGATGTTTTTATTTATATCCCTTAATCGTTTGCTCATGTCACGAGCTCATTGGCTCTGACACACTCGACTGGAGTCCGTCGAATTTGAAATTGAGATGGCCATGAATATGTTTGGTTGGATACACTGAACTAAAGTATGGAAGATATTAGGTAACTAAACTATATTTTAAGTTAATAATGGGAATAAGGATTATATTCCAGGTTATGTCAAATAAGAGGCTAGAAGCTTGTAAGTTTTAAATGCTTTTACTCATAAAATTACTAAAAGCTTTGAGGATTTGTATAAGTTAAAGGGAATTTATGTTTTGTTAGTCTATAAAAGATATGTATATGATTCTTAAATGTAAATTAATGAGTATAATGGATAAAATTCCGAACAATTTATACCCTCTATACATTTAATGGCAATGGCAATGGCAAGCTATTAGGATACCATAAACTCAGATACATTGAAAACCTGCAATAGGGGTTGATTGAAAAATAAAGAAGATACCGAAGTCAACCACTAAAATTATGCTTTGTTGACCCCACGCTCGGCAGTAGTCCAAGATTTCCTGTGATCACTCCACCGAAGACTCAGCATTCC